AAGAGAGATAATAAATTTCAAAAGTATAACTTTGAGGGTGAGAAGGATATATTTATATTAGTGTTCATAATAATACATATTACACAAATATTAAAATGATAAATCGTACTTTGTAGGGAAATCAAGCACACAATACTGTGAAAGCCCTAAAAGTCGTCCATCTGCACTCGACATTCAATTCAAACTAATATCTCGCATAAAAAAAAATGCACCCTAATGAGGATGCGAAAACAAACAAGACACATAATGTAAACAAGCACTGGTAAATAAAATGCATAGTATGATGTAGCCAAGCCGAATATTAGTATGAGAATACCGTTTCCAGAAAAGTTTCGTTTATTTGGTCATAAATAAATATTTAGAATACTTACATATGTAATTTATTCAGTTTTATGCATTGGCGAAAAAATTAGTAAAATAAAATATAAACAAGAAAACTTGACGCTGACCAAACTATCTAACCTACAGGTCTTTCATTAGATAAAAAAGTAATTAATCTTTATTTTAAAATAATAATTGAATCTTATAAACTAGTTTGAGATAACTCCCAATAATACCAACACCGGCAGTGTATATTAAATAATTTTATTAAAAGAAATCAAGAGAAAAATTTGAATATTTTAAATACATACAATATTATCTAAGACAAAAATCAATTTTAAAAACCACAACTAAATATTTGCTCAAATATATCAAACAGTATGTCTACATATACTTAGAATATTAAATTAATTAAATAAAACAATGGAATTTAATCTTTAATTAATTTGTAATACTAAAATAAAAATAGAACAATCAATGCTGATGTAATTTGATATACGCAACATGTGAATATAACAACCAACGATTCAAACAGACGCCATTTGTTTTGTAAAATTTTTCACGGTAATATTGAGTTGCTACTTCCTTATACACTTAATATTGTGTCTTTGGATAACATTTAATTGTACTTTTGAAATCATTTTTACCATGTTTGCAAACTGTGTCAAAACAGAAGTTGCTAAAGCATATAAAAAAGGTGTAAATGGGTATTGCTGAATTATCTGGTACCTTTGGATGAAGGTATTCTATGATACAAAGTTCCATGATCCTACATAAATACTTTAGTTAACACTGAATTAATTACTGCACGATCTGCCCACCGTGCTGGTTTAAAATAAACGAGCTTCACCCAATTTAATAAGATGGAGCAGCTGCGCATCGTACTTCTGTGATAATAGTATAAAAAAGGAGCCCCTAAGTGAATTAATGGACATTGAATTTATTGATCCTGATCTAAATATTAAAGAAGAACCCGATGAAAAGACAAATCCGAAGGCTAAAAAGTCAACAGACATCTCAAGTGAGATGATAAACCAACTTTGCGAACTAGAAATGCCATCTTCGATTAGTAACGAAACAACAAATACTGAGGCGGACCTGCTGAATCCTTTTAGTGAACTAAACTGCCATAAAATAAAAAATAACATTTTGGAGAAACTTGAATTAAAGAATGATGTAACCAATTTGCCCAAAATTGCAGGTAATAGAAGGCGTATATATGTATATACGAGCACTTATTAAATCTTTCATATTGTTTTGCGTTCTTAAAGGCATAAAATCAACAAATTCAGAAATCCGAAAAAAGCAGAAATACGTTACACGGCAATTATTGGGCTCTAAAAAAATAAAGCGTAAAAATGAAAGAGATAAATCTACAAAACCAAATGATTGTTCGGAAAAGGGGAAACGCCGATCAAGTATTAAATCAAGTTCGGAAGACAAAGAAATGGTTAAGAAATACATTCCCATGATCTGCGAGTTATGCACATTTATCAGCGAAGACCATTCATCTGTTAGAAAACACTTCCGAAAACAGCATCCAAAAATCAAAGCATACGTAAGATGTTGCAATAAAAAATTATTTCACCCTCTTGAGATCATACGTCATGCGTATAAACACGAAAATCCTGAATTTTTTAAGTATGTTACATATATATAGGTGCATATCATAATTTATAATTCTAATTTCGTTAAAGGTGTAAAGACTGTAAAAAAAACTTTGCGGAACAGTCAACACTCTCCCGTCATATGATAACTGCTCATGCACCAGAGGAGGAACTAAATTACAATTGTGATCAATGTCCAAAAAGATTTCCTTGCCAAAAGAAACTTGAACTTCATAAAAATTCGCATGTACCCCAAAACGAGCGGATATTCGTTTGCGACCTATGTCCTAAAAGTCGCTTCGCCACTAATGATCTTTTGAAAATTCACGTATGTATGCGGCACCGTCGACCAACCAATGTCTGTCATGTGTGCGCTAAAGAGATACGTGATAAAGCGTCATTTGAAAAGCATGTGCGGTCGCATTTCGATGATGGTGGTCCGAAGGTAAAATGCACATTGGATGGTTGTGACCGTTGGCTCAAGGATGAAGATAATCTTCGACGACATATACGGAGATTACATACCAAAGATCAAAAAGCGGTTACATGCGATACATGCGGGCGGGAATGTAAAAATCAAGATGCATTAACTAGACATAAATATCGCGTTCATTCGAATGTCGTATTCACCTGCGAGGAATGCAAAAAAACTTTTAAGCGAGCGATTTATTTGCGGGTAAAAATTTATTTATTTGCAATAATTTTATTTAATTTATATACGTATTTTCAGGAACATATGGCACAACATACTGGTGAAATTCTTTACAAATGTCCATTTTGTACGCGTACTTCCAATTCTAATGCGAATATGCATTCGCATAAAAAGAAAATGCATCCCCTAGAATGGGATAATTGGAAAAAAAATAATAATGGAAGTTCACAACAGATATTAAGTGATCAACAGGAAAATACACAAAATTTGTATTCATTATGTAACAATTAATACATAACCATAGCGAAAGTTTTTGCATTAAATATATATATGTACAGTTAGTATAATAGCGCTTGGCTGCGAATATTGTATTATTATTAAATGTCTTATGACTCCACATTTCATTTCACAAATATACTTAGCTAGGGTGAGTTTAACCACCAGCCATTTATTGTGCTGTAATCGCTATATTTTCTTAGATTTAATGCAAATATTTTTGGTTTTGCCTTGCGTGTGAATCGTATACAATAAATTTGTATATATATTTAGATTTTATACAATTATAGATGCACTTTGATCATCGGTCTATTGTGCACTCCCCTCTATTACTTCACTTTGGCTAACTCAGTCGCAGTCGCCCGGCCGGAATGAATAGATAGAGATACTTCCCTTCGATAGCTTGCCTATTTCTTTTTAGAAGTACTAATTTCTTGAGCAATTAGTAATATAAATGCGCTTTATTTAAATAATTTAAGTGAAATAATGCTTTGAACTTTAAATTAAATTTCAACCGTCATTGAAATTATCAAACTGTGACAAAGAGGGCAGGTATGATGTCGTGAGATTTCAACTGGGGTGGCACAATGATGACAAATGCCACAAATCCAAATATTACTGGTGGGTTGAGTGATGGGTTTGCCTGATGATACACATGCTGGAAAGCGAGCACCACAAATGCTACAGGCTGGCAGACTAGGAAAGAATAATTTATTTTAGTACACATATATATATATATAATATATAAATATATCGTAAACTGCAGAATCGAAGTTAACCTTTCGAGTAACGGCGAGTTGCATGCGTAACATTTAACCATTTCTCTTTTGGTATCTTCAGAGGTATACTTTGAAAAAATACTTTCAGCGAGCCTTTTATATTCCTGAACTCTACACTCCGGTATACTCTCCAAACTTCCTTCTAGCTTTGTAAAAGCCTTGACGCATGTACCTAATGTCAATTTTTGTTTCAATATATTAATTTTAATACCAAAATATTGAGTACTTACCAAATGATCGATCTGCACAACAGGAAAGCGCGAGTATATTATATACATCTTCTGCTGGCAAAATATCATCGTAATCGCACAAGCGCAATGCAGTAGCGACAGCATTGCGTGTAATACCAAATCGTAACTGACGCTGTGCCAACATCCTGGACAAAATTGGTCAATTTAATAAAATAAAATATCCACAATCGTACTTGTACTTATGCTTACATAAAATGATAAGCTTCCGCTGCATGCCACATATGTTCAACGACGTGTGCGTCTTCTGGACTCATCGTATCCAATATCGAATTTCTATCCACTTTGTAACTCAATTCTACTGTACTCAATGATTTCAGATGTTCCTCGGATAATAATGAAGCTAAAATATAGAGCTTTTTAATGCGTAGCATGCTGGAATCCTTTTCGGCTTCCCGTTGTGCCAGTTTACCCAGCAAACGCGCGGCTTCCAAATAAAATCCAGCTTTCTTTTGTAGTTCAATTGCTTCTGGTAGACGATCTTCTTTGATGAGCTGTGCCGCATGCTTGCTTAACAAATCTCCAATTTGTGGCATATCAAATTTACGAGCAAGCTGCACCGCCTCTCCCCATTGTCGCAGATTAACGCAAGCATTTACTGCAGATTTAGGATCGCCCATTTTTAAGTACGCCTTGACTGCCTCTGTACACATTCCTGCCAGTGAGTGAATTTTAATTACTTCATTTTTATAGTATGGTCTATCAATGTTACTTACCAACTGAAGCCAACATTTCGGCTATTTTTGCTAATAATGGACTTTTTTCAGGCAATTTATCAATGCATTGTTCCAACTCATCAAATCTCTCAAGATGGTAAAGCGCATCCATTAAGCCGTCTAAGTGATGTGATTTTTCATAGTATTCCTTTGCGCTCTCCCTGGGAACAGTTCGAGTAAAGATATTAATATTTTAGTTTGTTTTCGAAGTACACACTTTCCAAAATTTGGTGAAATCTTGTTCTTACCAAGAACGTAAACTTGCAAAATGGTTGCCAATTTCGCGCCAAGCGGTTTCCATTTGTTGGTCGGACACTCCCGAACCCATACGGTAGAGTTGAA